TCAGGTTCTTCCATTGTTCTCCTTCAGCCCAGGGCCCCAGATTGCAGAGTGTTAGGTCTCTTACTCCAGACCTTCCCTCACGCTTTTGCCTTTCTGTGGTTCATGCTAGATAGTCTTTTCTATGTTTTACTCTATTAGTACTCTTTTTGATCATATATGATGTGTTGTTAAATCCATCTGTTGAATTCTTTATTTGGGTTATTATGATTTTTGGTGTAGAATTTCTACTTTTTAAAATGATTTCTAGGGACTTCTGGGTGGCTCAGTCAGTCGAGCCTCTGACTTAAGCTTAGGTCACGATCTCATGGTTCATGGGTTCGATCCCCACATTGGGCTCTGTGCTGACAGCCAGCTCAGAGCCTGGAGCCTGTTTCAGAGTCTGTGTCTACCTCTCTCTCTGACCCTCCCCTGCTCACACTGTCTCTCTCTCTCTCAGAAATAAATAAAACAAGGGGTGCCCGGGTGGCTCAGTCAGTTAAGCGTTCAACTTAAGCCTCCGACTTCGGCTCAGGTCATGATCTCACGGTTTGTGGGTTCGAGCCCCACCTTGGGCTCTGTGCTGACAGCTCAGAGCCTGGAGCCTGTTTTGGATTCTGTGTCTCCCTCTCTCTCTGACCCTCCCCTGCTCACGCTGTCTCTCCCTCTCTCTCAGCAATAAATACAAACATTAAAAAATTTGTTAATAAAAAAAATTTTAGTTTTTTGGTCACTCTTCTTGGTCTTGTCTTCCATCTCTCTGCGTGTATCAGTCCCGGCCCTCATCAGCTCCGTGCCTGAAAACTCTGGGAGCTCTGAGTCCGCTTCTCTAGACTGTAGCGTCTCTTGCTTTCCGTGATGTCATCCCATCTCTTACGTCTGGTTGCTCTTGGTTGAGAACTGGACATTGTATGTAAGAAACAGGAAATGGTGAAGGAACCATGTCCTCTCCCACCCTCTGCCTCCCCAGTGTACCCCCCGCCCCCCCTCCCCCCGGGGCCCCTTTGCCATCCTCTTCAAGCCAGCAGAGCCTGCAGACCTGAGTTGAGCCCTCTTCTCTGTAGGTGGATGATGAGCTCGAAATCAAGGCGTACTATGCAGGCCACGTGCTGGGGGCAGCCATGTTCCAGATTAAAGTGGGCTCAGAGTCTGTGGTCTACACGGTCAGTGGAAGCACCTGGGGTGCAGGAGGGACTGCCTGGCCTGGGGGAGGAGGCACCTGTCTTATTGGCACATTCTTTGCCAGGGTGATTATAATATGACTCCGGACCGGCATTTGGGGTGAGTAGGCTGATGTGCTTGTTTCATCCTGTGGGGAGCCCCCGGAGTGCAGCGACCTGCAGGCGTGTGCTGGATGCCACCGCATGTCCCTTGTGTGTGTGACAGTCTCTTCCCCCCGCTGTCAGAGGGTGAGGGGTGTCGCGGGGTCCTTATTCCTAGCCCTGCAGCCATGTGGGTTGTCCACCTTGGGCCACGCCTACCTCTGTCCTAGAGCTGCCTGGATTGACAAATGCCGCCCCAACCTGCTCATCACAGAATCCACATACGCCACGACCATCCGGGATTCCAAGCGCTGCCGGGAGCGAGACTTCCTGAAGAAGGTCCACGAGGCTGTGGAGCGCGGCGGGAAGGTAGCTGGTGCAGGCGGGGTGCCAGGCAGGGCTCTGGGCCTTGCGCCACCTTGACTGTCAGGGGACAGGGGTGCCTTGTGTTCTGGGCATGCAGGGAGGAATGTATTCTCAGCATTAGGAAAAACTTCTCTGAAGACCACTGGGGTGCTTATTCACTCCTTATCTCAGATCCTAGCCCAGGGGTGGCCAGAACATCCACCGTGGTCATTTTGGGATGGACTGTGGCTGGGAGCAGGACTTGGGGCAGAGTGTGAGGGCCTTTCCCATGGCCTGCAAAGGGCCTCTGGCTCTCAGGGATACCTGGCTGTGACCTCTCACTGGATGCAGGCTCTGGCCATCAAAGCTGCCAGCAGGGCCAGCGTTTATAGTAGCCGCTCCCTGCGAAGGCAGCCACAGGGAGCAACTGCTGCCCTCTGTGATCAGAGGTGGGCTTAACTTGGGTGGGCAGCATGCCAGGGCCTCCTGCCTGAGCCAGCCTTGCCCTCCCGCTGCAGGTGCTGATCCCTGTGTTCGCGCTGGGCCGTGCTCAGGAGCTCTGCATCCTGCTGGAGACCTTCTGGTAGGTGGTAGCCAGTCGGTGTCTGGGAGCCCTGGGCGCTAGCGGCATGTCTGTGTCCAGCTCTAGGCAAGGATAGTCAGGGTAACTGACATCTGTTAGGGTGCCTGCCTGTGCCAGGAGGTCTGTAGTGTCCTGTTGTTCACACCAGGGCCCCCCAGTCACATGACTACGTCCCCTCTGTGAGACCCGACATACAGGAGGAAGCGGGCTGGGGGTGTGGGGGGGACACAGGCTGGCCCTGCCCTGGCGTCCTCCTCCACCGTGGCCCCTGCACTGTCGCAGGGAGCGCATGAATCTAAAGGCCCCCATCTACTTTTCCACGGGCCTCACGGAGAAGGCCAACCACTACTACAAGCTCTTCATAACCTGGACCAACCAGAAGATCCGGAAGACTTTTGTCCAGAGGAACATGTTTGAGTTTAAGCACATCAAGGCCTTTGACCGAGCATTTGCTGACAACCCGGGTCCAATGGTGAGGCCCTGGCCAGGGTGGGGTGGGGATGGCCGTCCTGTGCCCGTGGTAACCAAGTCATGCCTGCCCCAGGCTGGGGCACCCAGGACCAGCACTGGCTGTCCACACGTGTGCACCTCCTCCGTGTCTGGGACATGTGAGTGGTCCTGCCTGCAGAGAGTGGGGTGCACTGTGCTGGGGGAAAGATGGGGTGGTCAGAAGGTGGGGCCTGTGGCAGGTGCAGGGTCAAAAGACTGAGGGCAGCGGAGGGGCCGGACTCCTGGCCAGTGCTGGGTCTCTGCCAGGCGGGTGTCCGCTGCTCTGACCGTGCCCTGCCCACCCTGCAGGTCGTGTTTGCCACACCAGGCATGCTGCACGCCGGCCAGTCCCTGCAGATCTTTCGGAAGTGGGCAGGGAACGAGAAGAACATGGTAAGGGGTCTGGTCCCCAGGTATACCTCCTACGAGGGCCTGTGAGGTTGGGCAGAGGTGGGGGAGCAGGGGCTCCGCCCGTCTTGGGGACAGTGTTATTGTCAGGTCAGGGCTCAGTATCCTGGGGCCCCGTGTCTAACCCAGGCAGCTCGCACTCTTGCTATGTGTCGCCTTGTCTGTATCAGGCAGTAAAGCCTGGCTTCCTGAGCTGATGTGCTACTCAGGCCTGGGATGGGGACCCGCTGGCAAGGGGCAGGGGCCATCAAAGGTTCAGGTTCAGACAGGCAGCAAGGGTGGAGAGACAGAGAGGAAGCCCGAGGCAGGAGTGGGGGGATGGTGCCATTTGCAGCGTGGCCGCCAGCTCCATCCCTCCCTGCCCCCCAGGTCATCATGCCGGGCTACTGCGTGCAGGGAACTGTGGGCCATAAGATCCTCAGTGGGCAGCGCAAGCTGGAGATGGAAGGGCGGCAGGTGGTGAGTCCCCACTTCCCCGGGAGCCCCACAGGCCCCCCACACGGGTAGGTTGGGAGCCCTGTGAGCCTGCTGCTTGTGGTAATGGCCTGTGTGCACTGTGATGCTGCAGTTGGAGGTCAAGATGCAGGTGGAGTACATGTCCTTCAGTGCCCATGCCGACGCCAAGGGTATCATGCAGCTGGTGGGCCAGGCAGAGCCCGAGAACGTGCTGCTGGTACATGGGGAGGCCAAGAAGATGGAGTTCCTGAAGCAGAAGATTGAGCAGGAATTCCGTAGGCAGCCCAGGCATGGGGTGGGCTTGGGCTGACATGGGATGCAGGGCAGGGTCTGCCCGTGGGGTCAGCATGGGCAGAGCCAGCTGATCCTGACTGAGGCTTTCTGACCCTCCCTCTCTGGCCCAGGGGTCAATTGCTACATGCCAGCCAATGGTGAGACGGTGACGCTGCCCACTAGCCCCAGCATCCCTGTGGGCATCTCGCTGGGGCTGCTGAAGCGGGAGATGGCACAGGGTATGCAGGGCAGGGGCGGGGCAGGGGCAGGGGCACGGCTCAGCGGGTGGACCCGATGACAGCTCCCATCCTTGCCCGTTTCTCCGCAGGGCTGCTCCCTGATGCCAAAAAGCCCCGGCTCCTCCACGGCACTCTGATCATGAAAGACAGTGTGAGTAGGCGTGGGGCAGGGCGGGGATGGGGGTGTGGGGCGGGGGGCGTGCAGGGCGCTCCCTTGCCCCCTGACCTGCCCCTGCCCCTGCCCCGCAGAACTTCCGGCTGGTGTCCTCAGAGCAGGCCCTCAAGGAGCTGGGCCTTGCCGAGCACCAGCTGCGCTTCACATGCCGCGTCCATCTGCACGACCCTCGCAAGGAGCAGGAGACAGCCCTGCGGGTCTACAGCCACCTGAAGAGGTGGGTACCCAACCCCTTCTGGCCTGGGGTGGTAAGAAGGGGGGCACAAGGCAGGTCTCACTGTGCTTCTCCGCAGCGTCCTCAAGGACCACTGTGTGCAGCACCTTCCCGATGGGTCCGTGACCGTGGAGTCCATCCTCATCCAGGCTGCTGCCCACTCAGAGGACCCAGGCACCAAGGTGCTGCTGGTCTCTTGGACCTACCAGGTGAGTGGCCTCAAAGGCGCTGTGCCCAGCAAGTCAGGACAGGCGGGGTCGCCGCATCACCCTGGTCTGCCCAGGTGTGGTGGTCAGGGAGGAGGAGATGACCATCCCCTCTTGCATCTGGCTACAGGATGAAGAGCTGGGAAGTTACCTCACGTCACTGCTCAAGAAGGGCCTGCCCCAGGCTGCCAGCTGACCACCAGCCAGAGGGACCTAGGCTTCCCTTCTAGAGCCGTGTCTGTGCCTCGGGTCTTCCCTCTGTGTTCCTGGATGGGAGCCCACGGCCGGTCAGAGCACTTGTCTGTGAGGACACAACCCACGTCATGTGCCTGTGCAATTGGCCAGTTTTGGCTGAGGAAAGAAATCGGCCTGGGGACTTCATCACTCTTTATTTCTATTCCTGAGCCCTCAGGACATGGCTGGATGGCTCCTGAGGTATTCAATGTCCAGTAAAAATAGAACCAAAGACCACACGGGTGCTCCCTTCTTGACGCCCAAACCTTTCTCCTGCAGTCTACCCACGGCAGCCCGCCTGGGGCAGACCGGGGCGCTCAGGAATGTGGGGACTTGGAGCAGGTATGGGCCTAGGTGGTCAAGTGCTGGTCCCTCCTCGCCTCCATGGCATGCAGAGCTGGGCAGGGTCCAGTGGCAGGGCCTAGTGTGTCACGGGCACCCGGGGGCTCTCTGTGCCTCCATGGGGTGAAGCCTGCAGGGCACAAGAGGCTCCCTCCAGGGGCTGGGCCTGGCCCTAAGTCCACAGCTTCCTCTGGGCTGCAGAGCCTCTGCCCTTCAAGGCCCTCCCCACTCGAGGTGAGCCCCCTCAGCCTCCCTCCCTGCCGGGAACTTGATCATAGGGTCCAGGTCACGAGTACGGCTTGGGCCTAAGGGCCCAGGGGAAGGAGGCACCTCACTCCAGGCTGCCTCCTTTTAGGAGCAGCTGGAGATTTTTTGTCCAACCTGGCTGGGGCTTCCTTGCCTCCGGGGTCCTGGCTTTCCCACTGAACACAGGCTGGATTCCCACCTGTTAGGACAGAGGAGGGCTGTGGCTGTCCGTCACGCACCCCGCCCTGGGAGGGGGTCAGTCGGTGGGGTGCCCGCAGGGACTCTTCCAGGCCGCCTGCCCTTACCGGGGCTCCCATACTGCACCGACTTGAGGAATAAGCCACAGGCTGGGGCCACACGTGTCTGGTGTCTGCCAAGGGGGTCCCGGCTTTCCAAAATCACCCTCACCTGAGCGGGCCTCAAAGCCCCCAGCCCCACAGCCACCAGCACAGCTGTCATTCTCCGAACCTGCAACCCAAGGCCAAGACTGCCATAGTGGCCCAGCTCCTCGGGTCCACCCCATCCCTGGGAGCCCCAGGGCAGAGCCCACCTGTCTGTATAGGAAGGACTGGCTCTCAAACTCCAGGTTCCAGAACTGCAACCTAGAGATAGAGGCACCTGTGACATCTGGGCCAGGACAACCCCCAGTCCACACCGTGGCCCCAGAGGAGGCGGGCAGGGTGAGGGAGGTGGGAAAGAGTGGTTCCCACTCTCTTCCACCCCATGGGCTTCCGGTGGCCACCCTGCCCTCAGGTGAAGCTGGTGGGAGAGACACTGCGAATCGGGGGGGGGGGTGTTGCAGAGCCTTCTGAGGGGCCGAGGCAGTGGGGACAGGACCCTCAGGTGGGGGTGCTCCTGAGGCAGAGGTCCTGGTGCGGCTCTGGAGCAGCTGAGGGAGATGAGCATGGCCAACTCCTCTACCAGAGCCCCGAGCCTCAGGGTAGTGGCTCTTCAGCTGATCATGCAGAAGTTCCTCCTCCCTTCAGTGTGGGCTCAGACTGGGAAGGTTTGGAAATCAAGAGCTGACGTCTGGCCAGAGGCCCCAGGGACAGTGTAACCAGCCGCCTGCCAGGTAGGGTTGGAGCCACGGGCCTGGTGCTTCTCTTTCAGCGAAGTGTTTTCAGCAGCTGCCAAGATCCATCTACTAGTCCACGAACAGTGGGCTGGACAGGGCTGGGAGCCCTTGTAGAAAGAGCTTTCTCTGTCCCCAGCGTGGCAGGACCCCAGCCCAGTGGCAGAGAGCACAGCTGCAGGTTGATGGTTGTTGGGGCCATGCCACTGAGCTGACCAGCATCTCCTCTATCAGGGCTGATGGGTACCCAGGGAGTCCCCAGCTCCAGCTGTGTCCTGCCTCTATATCATCCTCACCAAGGATGGTGCTAAGTCTAAATGCAGCTCCCCCAGTCTCTGGCCGGTGTGCGAGGTGCCCTGTTACTTACCTGTTCTCCTGGGGGAGGACAAAGGGGCTGCCTAGGTCAGGGGACACCGAGGCTCGGCGCAGTGTGCGCACTGAGCTAGTGGCCGGGCTGCCAGCTGACTGGAAGGCACTGAAGTCATGTGTCCCTAGAAGGTGCTGGGCAGCCTCCTGCATGGCATCTACATCCAAGCAGCTGCAGGGAGGCAGGTGAGTGGTCAGGAGGGAGTAGCCATCCATGTGGGCCTGGCAACCCCCACCTGCTCCCTCACGTCCACACTCACTCTGCCCGTAGTGCCCAGCATCGGTTTCGTTCAAACACAGAGAGCTGATCAGGCCGCTGGCAGCCGGTGGCCAGGCGGTACAGGTAGGTCCTGGATGTGGCTGCATGGCGGGCGTGGAAGTCACTAGGTACTCGGAAGGCCTGCAGTACCCTGTGGGAGCACGATCAGGTATAGCGGAATGACCCCTACCCACCCACCAACCCAAGTGACACCTTGGTATCTCCATCACTTCCAAGAGGTTCTGTCTAGACACCAAGTCCTTCCTGACTTGTGGTCTCCATCCACCGTGGACCGGTTTGGAGACAGCAAACAGGTACTCACCGGATGGCCGGGTGCCTCAGGTGGCCATTGAGAGCTTCAGCCAGGACTTCGGGGGAGAAGGGGGGCTGGCCTGAGCGGCGCTGGATGTCCAGGTGAGCTGCGTTGCTCAGGGCGTGGACCCCAGCATCCGTGCGGCTGGAGATGGTGAACTTGACCGGCACCACCGAATTCAGCCGCTTTGCAGCCTCCTGCGAGGACAGAGCCGCCTGGGGCGGGGTGGGCAGCACGGGGCGAAGACCAGAGCCCAGAGGCCCGGGGGCTCCCATCTGCCCCTACCCTGGGTCTCCCTCTTTCCATTCCGAGCGCGTGGCCGGCGGAGCTCACCTCCAGGTAGTTCTGGACCCCGATGGCGCGCTGGGAGCCCCTGACGGCCGCGACCCCGCTGCAGGCAGAGCGAGGCTCAGGTTAGCGGACGGAGGCCCGCCCCGCACTCTGCTGCCCTGCAAGCCCGTTCCCTTTCCCGGCGTCGAGTGCTAAATTTAGCTCCCCCCCCACCCCCCCGGTCCCGCCTAGGGTGCCGGGATACACGTAGGGGCCGCGGGCATGGATGGGCGGTCCTGAGGACGTACTTGAACTCCGTGCCCAAGTACTGAAAGTACACGAGGTAGCGCGCCCTCACCGAGCCTGCGGCAGGAACCATGGCCTGGCTGAGCCGCCCCGCTCGCGTGCTCTGCGCGCGCGCACTGAAGCCGCTGGCCACGCCCCTCTGGCTGCGCCCGCGCCTGCGCCTTAGCGCCGTCCCTTCCCAGTACTTGCCGGCCCCGCCGCGGCCGAGGGCGGGGGCGGGGGGGGGGGGCGGACTTAGGGAGCGGGTGCAAACTGCCAGCGGGCTGAAGCGCGCGTGGGACGGATTCGGACCGCGGCGCCCGGGAGGAGCTCCCGCGGACGCGCACGCCTTCCTCCGTCCGCTCCCCCGCTCCCCCGCTGCCCACCGTCCTGGACTGGGTCCGTCCCCACGATCCGCGCAAGCGGGTTCCGCAAACGCCGGGAGTTGCGTAACGGCCGCTTTGCTGGAGCGGGCAGCGCCGCGCCCTCCCGCGCCCCGCGGACCGGCGACTGGTGCTGGGCCCGACTCCCTTCCCAGCCCGCGGTGGCCAGCGAACGAGGGCGCGGGAGGACGGGGCGTCCGGGCCGGAGCCAGGCGGGGCCGTGGCCGTGGCCGTGGCCGCAGAGAGGGGAGTTTGGCGACGCTCCCCGGCAGTGACAGCGGGAGGCGCGCGCGGGCCGCGAACATCGGCGACGCTCCCCGGCCGTGACAGCCGGCGGCGCGCGCGGGCGGCGGACTTTGGCGACCTTCCCCGGCGGTGACAGGCGGGGCGGGGCGGCGGCGCGGCGGCCTCGTTCCGGGGCGGGCGGGCGCCGAGCGCGGCGCGGGCGGGCCGGCCGACGGGCGAGCGAGAGGGCCGGCCGGGGATGCCGCTCGGGGCGCCGCGGTCCTCGTGTCAGTGAGCGCCGCGCGCCGCCGCAGCCATGACGGTGGAGTTCGAGGAGTGCATCAAGGACTCGCCGCGCTTCAGGTGCGCCCCAGGGCGGCGCGGCCCTTTGTGGTCGGCGGGGTCGCCGCGGGTGCGCGCGGGGGGTGGGAGTCGTTGCCGCCTTTGTGCGGGGCGCGGGAGCCGGGGTGTGTGTGGGGGGCGGGGGCTGGAGGACCCCGCCTCGGACAAAGCCCGCAGCCCGGGGCCCCAAGGCCTTGAACAAAAGATGCCCCTGGTGCTGGTCACCTCGCGCGGAGGGTGCGCGCCTGGGGGCGGGGGGCCGCCGGTACAGCCACCTTTCCGTGGGGGCGTCCACCCCGCCTTGTGCTGCACCCCCGAGCTGGCGGCCTGCGCGGGGCTGGGCCCTCCTGGCCCTGCGGTTCTTCTCTGGCCCGCGTTGCCTGGCTGCCAGGAGCGTCTGTCCCTGGAACGTGCTCGGTCCGCGTGCCCAAAGCAGTGCATGGGGGTCAGGCAGCGGGAGCCACGCTTCAGCCGGGGGCTGGCGGCTTGGCAGGGGTGACCCAGGAGCCTGGAGGTGTGGGTGCCAGGCTGAGCAGACTGGGTGGGACTTTCGGGTGGGGGTCTCGCCCTGTGCCCAGCCCTGGGCTTGTCCATTTAGTCCTTCCTGGGAGTGCAGGCAGGCTCACCCACGTGCACCACGAAGCACCTTCTGTGAGGCAGGTGCATATGCTTGTGTTGCTGTGCATATGTGTGAGCTCTTCTCTGGGCCCTCCCTTGAGGTGCCAAACCCGGGACGTGAACGCGTGGGTGAGCCGCACCCCTGGGCTGGCATGCTTGATGCGTGCGTGTAGACTAGGGATAGGTGCGTGTGTGTGCGCGTGCGTGAGTGTGCACGTGTCATTTTGTAACCTCTGTGTGGATATATGCACGGATATGTTCCCGTACTGTGTGTTTATCACACACATGTGAGTTCCGACACTAAACACATGTGTATTCTGACACCCGCTGCCAGTATCTGTACATCCGTGTATATTGTGTTCACAAGTATAAAATTTGTGCGTGTGTACACTGTGTCACTGCTTGCACGCACATTTGATTGCACATGTGTGCTCGGTCACGCGTGTGTGTGCCCGCTGGGTCTTGGGTGTGCCAGCAAGAGGACCTGTGTGTGGATGCGCTGGTGAGCATCAGCGCCGGTGCTCTTACCCCTGGGTCCCTTGCACAACCATCACACAGGGAGTCAGCAGCAAAGGCTTGGGAGGCTACGGATGAGGGGTCAGGGGTTGGCCTGGGAAGGGGCCCCAGGCTAGAGGGGCTGGGGGTGATCCTCTGCATTCTCCCATCTTCTGATGCTGACTGGTTGAGGGAGGGTGTGTGAACAACTCAGGCACCCACAATTGTGGGCCCCCGCCAGTGCCCACTGTCCTCCAGGACCCAGGCCATCGGGAGAGACTAGCCAGGGCCTTGGTCCTGGCTGAGGCCCCCTAGCCTCACCCTCACGACTTGCTCAGAAACCTCGTGGTTCTTCTCCCCCTGAGCGGAGGGGTCCAGGCCCACCTTGCCTGGTCAGATGGGGGGCACTGGCATCCCATTCACCTTCTGACCTCCCCTCCCGCTAGCCCGGTCTGCCACCACTGTGCTCACAGTGGCTGCAGTGGCTGCCCGGGCTTTGCCATGCTTCCTCTGGCAGGGAGGGGCTGCCCCTGGAAAGTGCCCAGCTGGGCCTGGGATGGGGGCTGCAGAGGTGCATCTGAACCTTGGATCACAGAGGCCACACTGTGTTGGTTTTGGAGTTGGGCTGTGATTTAACAGGCGTTTGAGGTTCTCTCGGGGGGGTCCCACTGGCTCCTCCTCCTCAGGACTTCCTGGTGGCAGGCCTGGCACAAGCCAGAGGGGGCTGGGTGGGAGGCTGTGGCCTCAGACCTGGGAAGAGGGACCCTGCCTACATGCTCTTGGCCTGGGGAGAGCCCCGCAGCCTTGGGATGCACGCGGGAGAGTCCAGACTCTTCCAGACAGGCCTGGAGGCGCAGCCCCCTTGTTCCTAGTGCCCCCTCCCCTGGGTGGGGCTTCAGGCGCTGAGTCATGGCTTTGGTGGGAGAGCCTGCCTCACCCTCCTTGTCATACAAGCTGCTGAAGAAATCCTGGAGGGAGGGCAGGAAAGGAGGCCTCAGTTCCTTGGGGGCCGGGGCTGGGAGAGCTGAGAGGCACAGGGCTCCCAGGACAGGGTGGTGGCTCTTTGCTCTCTGCTGAGCACCCGCTTTGCTCCCATGAGCACATTCATCAACATCCCGTGTAGCCCCCCCACCCTTGTGGGGGACCCCCTCCACCTTGCCCAAGGGCAACAGCTCTCTGTGCAGCCCCTCAGGACAGTTGGGGGCCGCCAGGGCTCCGGGAGCATCCGCTCCTGGTGGGTGGCCTGTCCCTTCTCTGGAACTCTCCCTTAGCCCCCCTGGAAGGGCTGGGGGCTGCTCAGAGAGGAGCCTGGGTCCTGCCAGGGAGTGCGGTCGGGAACTTTCCAAGTCCCTGGCTGGGGCTGCCTGGCACCCTCCCCACAGCTCCAAATTGTGGGCATGTGAGGGACTGGGAAGCCCTGGAACGCGGTGCCGCCCTGTGGCCATGAGGGCAGCAAGGGGCCACTAGACCTGGATGGCCTTCGCTCTGCCTGACCCCCATCTGAGACCTGTCCCCGGAGCTCTGCCTGTCGCCTCTGGCCCTGTTGTCAGCCCTCGTTCCCTCAGTCCTTCATCCCCAGGAGGCCAGATGGGCCCGGCTCACCAGCTGAGTCGGGTGGGGGGGTGGGGGCGCCAGGATCCTGGCCCTCTTTCCCTATTTCCTGTTCCCAGAACATGGGGGGGGTGTCACGTGCCAGATCCATCTGCCTCGCCTGCCTTCCGGGGATTCTCCCGTCTGTGGCTTCTTTGGTGATGTCACATGTTAACTCTTCCTTCCCTGAGGCAGCCCTATTGTAAGGCTGTCCTGGTGGGAGTGGTCTCCTCTGAGGCCTGACCCACCACTGTCTGAGCTGACTGTGGTGTCTGGTATTCTGAGGTTGGAGGAGTCAGGGGGCACCTGTCCAGCAGTTAGCCTGGGGTCTCATAATGCTGTCCGAGCAGAGAGAGCAGCTGGCCCATGCTTATGGGCCCTGAGACTGGTCGGCCCCGGGTCCACCGGCCCTAGGTGGAGTCTGGGGTTAATGAAGCCCTGGAGACGTGCAGTGGCCGGGCCTAGGAGGGTGGCCAGCAAGTTGCAGCCCCTTTATCCTCAGAGGCTGGTCTGACCTTCTCTCCCTCGGGCAACAGCAGCCGGCTGCCATGTTAGCTGACTGGGCCCCGCTCTGCCTGGGGTGGTGGTGGGTGCTGGATAGCTCCGGAGTCAGCTGGACCTGGGTCCCGGTCCTGCACCTTTCCCAGCCTCCATTTCCTCCATGTCTGAGGAGCGTAGGACAGCAGGTGGGCCGAGCTGAGTGGCCCCTGCGCACTGCAGACCCTCGTAGAGAGGTGCATGGGGAGGTGAAGCCCACGCGTGACCCCCCGGCGCTGCCGCTTGCGGCAGGTGGGTCTGCAGCCGCCTGTGTTCCTGTTGCAGGGCCACTATTGACGAGGTGGAAACGGATGTGGTGGAGATCGAGGCAAAACTAGATAAGGTGAAGGCCGGGGCTGGGGGTGATTGGAGGGTCCTGGGCTGTTCGCTCTGCCCCCACGCCTGGCCCTGACACAGGCTCGTGGATGAGTGTGTGTGAATGTGTATGTGCGAGCAGGGTTTGCCATCTCCCTCTGGATTTGTCCCTTGTTCTCCCCGGCTCTACCCTACCTACCTGCCTGTCCCAGGGTGCACATGCCGCACACACGTGTCTCCCGTCAAGTGGGGGTGGGCCTTGGTGAGTCCCCTCTGCCATCTTTCAGCCGAGGGAGTGGGGATTGCTACTAGGGATGGGGGTGGGGAAGGTGCTACTGAGTGACTGGGTTGGGGGCCCAAAGGCAGGGACAGGGGAGGAGAAGAGGGAGGAAGGAGGGGCAGCATCCCCGAGCACCCTCACTAGCGGCTCTTGCCAGCCCTTGGCTAGGACCACGCACCCACCCGGGCCCTGGGTTCCCCCCTCTGGGCTTCGCTGTTCTGGTCCAGCTTTCTGCTCTGGAGCCAAGACCCCCCTGGCACCTCGCTGCCCTCCTGGCTCCAGGCGGGTCACAGGGAGGGCTGGCTTCCCAGGGATGGCTGTGTCTTGGGCACTGATGGGCCCTGGGCGGCTCCCGCCTCTGTGGCCTGGTCTCTTGGAGGAGGCGAGGGCCGCCACTTGCAGGCTACGAGAATGTGGCTCCTTCCGTCATCCGCAGCTGGTGAAGCTGTGCAGTGGCATGATCGAGGCTGGCAAGGCCTACGTCACGACCAACAGGCTCTTCGTGAGTGGTGTTCGAGACCTGTCCCAGCAGTGCCAGGGTGACACCGTCATCTCGGTGAGGGGGCAGCTGATCTCTGACCTCTAGACAGGGGTGGGACAGGCAGGTGGCCCCTTGGCGGTCCCCAGGCCTTGGGAGCAGGTGGGCATCTGTGCTGGGCCACAGGCGCGGGCGGCTTGCATACCTGTGGGCAAGGAGGTGCCAGCCACCCCGGGAGCACAGCCGTCTCATCTGAGCAAGGGGTCTCCCCTCCCTGCCTCCCCCAGGAATGTCTGCAGAGGTTCGGAGATAGTCTGCAAGAGATGGTCAACTACCACATGGTAAGCCATGGCCACAGGGGGTGACGTACGGGAGCCTGTCCAAGGGCACATCCCTCTGGCTTTCCATCCCAGGCGGCTCCCCCCGCACCCAGCTCCCCACAGGCCCCGCCCAGCCTGGAACAGCTCTCAGCTGGCTCAGAGGGAGCTGAGCTGGCGGGCTGCTGGGAAGCCACGTTCCTATTCCTCCAGTCTGTGGGGGTGGGGGGACATGGCTGAGTGTCCCAGGTGAGGGCCAGGCAGTGGGGGGGTATCTGGATCCTGGGGGTGGGAGGAGGTAGCAATATAGCCCAGGACTGAGGGCAGTGGGGTCTCCGGGTAGCTGATTAGGCTCCCCCAGTTGAGTAGGGGTCACTGGCTAGGCAGCTGACCCCACGACCCCTGGTTGACTGCCAGCCTCATTGCTACCCAGGCTGGGTCTGGGTGACCTCAAGCCCCCAGGGCCCCCAGCACAGGACACACAGAATAGGGCCCAGGGCACATGTGGGTGGTCGGACTCTGGCTTGGGAACCAGATCCCCAGACTAAACAAGGAGCCCCACCCCCGCAGGGGAAGTTTAGAAATAAACCAGCTCAGGATAGCTCATTCTGCACTGTCTGTTTGTCTGTCTGTTCCCGGTTAGGGCCCGGCCCTCCTCCCACGTTGGGAGGGATCTGATTCTGGGTCTGGTCAGTGCTGTAGGGACCCCTGACCTGTTGCCTAGGTCAAATCCCTTGGAAGCTCTGGCCCCTGACCCTATTCCTTCTACTGTAGGCCTGGCCATCCTTGAGTTGGCCTCCCAGGGCCGGTAGGCAGCGGGTATCACTCAGTGGCCTGTGTGCGCCTGCCCTGAGTTGGCAGGGGGTGGTGCTGTGGGGGGTGCTGTCTGGGACAGCTCTAGCCTCTAGTCGGGCTGACAGTCTGTTGGGGGAGATGGGCATGTGGGCACAGCTATAGTCTCTGGCCAGCAACCCAGGCCTGGGGCCACACCCCGTACCCTGGACCCTAAGAGACTGGCTCCTGGGGGCAACCAGCTGGGGCTGAAGAAGGGCTGGGTGGGGCTTTCCCTGGTCCTTACCTGCAGTGACGGGGGCTCGGCCGCTGGAGCCCTAACCCACTGCCCCTCACCTTGGACCACAGATCCTGTTTGACCAGGCCCAGAGGTCTGTGCGCCAGCAACTCCACAACTTCGTCAAAGAGTGAGTGGCCGGTGGTGGCCCTGTGATGGCGCAGCGAGCAGACACAGCTACGCCTGACTGGGGGGTCCCGGGGCTGCCGTTAAGACTGTGGGTGGGGGGCTCAGCAGGAGTGAAGGCTCCGAGTAGGACAGGCCTGGGGTCAAGGAGACAGTGCCTGGAGGGCAGGGAGCACACAGCGTAGCCAGGAGGACCTCAGTCAAGGATGAGCATGGGCTGTAGAAGGAATTAGGGTGGTGGGAGGGATGGGGGCAGCGTTGAGGCCTGAGCTCTGTGCCTTCGTGTGTACTTGGGGTGCCTGTGGCACCCCTGGGTGAAGATGTAGAGTTGAATCTGAGTTTGAGTCTGGGGTTCAGGGTGAGACAGGGGGTCGCCCTAGGCTGGAATGGTCCTGGGGGTGAGGTGGTGAGGGGAGGGGGAGGCCCTGGATCCTGGAGGGGCCCTGCTGGGAGAGGAGGAGGAGGAGGGGGTGGAAGAGGAGGAGGAAGAGCACCGCAGCTGGGGGTGGGCGTGCAGAGACAGGTGGGTGGGGAAGGGAGGCCCTGGCCAGGGGCACAGAGTAGGCACAGGTAGAGGGAGGGCATTTCATGGATGTGGGAGACCTTATATGCACCCCTTCTAAGACCCCGGCCTGACACCTGGTGGCCCCCAGGGACGTGCGGAAATTCAAGGAGACCAAGAAACAGTTTGACAAAGTTCGGGAGGACATGGAGCTGTCCCTCGTGAGGAATGCCCAGGCTCCACGGCACCGGCCCCACGAGGTGGAGGAAGCCACAGGTGCCTTGACCCTCACCCGGAAGTGCTTCCGTCACCTGGCACTAGACTATGTGCTCCAGGTCAGCTGCTGGGCACAGAGCGGTTGGGGCCTGGAGTGGGGTGGGAAGCTGCTCCTGTGTTCCTACAGACACACAGACAGATCTGGCTTTCGGAAAACCCGAGCTGCCAGATCTTGGGAAGGGACAGGGTGGCGGGGTGCCCAGGCAAGGGTGTTCAGGGGACAAACCTGAAGCTTCAGGCCACAGGGGTGGGGCTGAGGCCTTGAAGATCTTGCTAAGGGGGTCTTGGTGGGCCTGGGAGCAGGTCTGAGAATTTTTGGCTTTGCCCATGGGAGGAGCCCACAGTCCTGACGTGGGGAAGGCCTCCATGACCGTGGGAGGGTGAAGCTGGCACAAGTGCAGGGAACTGAAGATGGGCTGGGGGTCTCAGGGAACCACAAGCAAGCCTGAGAGGACTCTGTGGTAAGGGAGCATCCATGGGCTGACACCCTTTACCCCTTCCCTGGCAGATCAACGTACTCCAGGCCAAGAAGAAGTTTGAGATCTTGGATTCTGTGAGTGACTGTTTGGTGTGGGTGGGGAGGGAGGCATTGGCCCTGAGTACAGGCCTGTGAGGTGCGCCCGATGTGAGTGCACCTGCTGGGCCCCTGGAGGCCTGGTCTCAGCTGTGCGCCCGCCCGCAGATGCTGTCCTTCATGCACGCCCAGCACAGCTTCTTCCAGCAGGGCTATAGCCTGCTGCACCAGCTGGACCCCTACATGAAGAAGCTGGCAGCCGAGGTGAGCCTGCGGGGTGGGCTGGGGCCCAAGACCCAGGTCTCAGGAAGAGTGGTCACTTCCCTCCCTGATGCCCCTCCCCCACAGCTAGACCAGCTGGTGATCGACTCGGCAGTGGAAAAGCGTGAGATGGAGCGAAAGCACGCTGCCATCCAGCAGCGGGTGAGGCCCTGTACCCCCTGGCCTCCCGCATGGAAGGGGGGCCCCAAGAAGCCAGTACCCCTTACCCCCTCTCCAGGCCTGCCCACACTGCTTCGCTTACAAATCTGCGCTCAGAAGGAGAGGTCTCCATTCTTAGGAGCCTCATCACGGCAGAGTGGGAGGGGCATCGGTTACTTAGGGGTCACTTACAGGCCAGCCCTGGTGGGCAGGGAAGCCAGCCCACTCGGGTCACAGATGCTGGGGCTGGAGCTAGAGCTGGGACCCTGGGTTTCCTTCCTTCGAGGCCAGTGGCCGTCACTGAGGCCTCAATAGCTGGCTCCTGCCCAGACAGCCCGAGGGTGGAGGTGGGCTGCAGGTAGCACGACTGGGAGCCCACTCACTGCTCTCTCTCCCTCCTCACACCCCCTCCTGCTCCCGGCCCCTCAGACGCTGCTGCAGGTGAGTGGGCGGGTGCCCTGGGGGAGGGAGGGGTGGGGGGGAGAGGGGGGAGCAGTTGAGCAGGCTGGGCGGGGCCTCTGCCCTCCCCCCGCCCCGCAGAGCTTCAGCACCAAGGACACCTCACTTTGCTGCGAGCGAGAGCGCGCTGTGGCGGCTGGCACCAGCGGGACTTGGGCTGAGCTGGACCGCATCCCCCGCGGGAACGGCAGCAGCTGTCCGTTTCTGCCCCCGCTCAGCCAGGGGAGCAGGTGGCCGGGCCTCCTCTCCTGCCGCCGGACACACAGGACAACGCCCAGTGTCTCCGCAGTCTCTGTGAATGGAGCTCTGTCAGGCTGGCTGGAGCGGGCCCAGCTGGCGGTGTGAATGGGGGACTCAGGATGGAGGCAGGCAGCTTCCTTCCTGATCCCAGAGCCTGTTGGCCCTACGAGGCTGGGGGCGTGGGCTGGGGCCCTCAGCTGTAATGTGAGGCGTCTGCCCTCAGTGGGGTTTCAGGGCGAAGGTCCCTGCTGGGGTCAGAGCAATGCCCCACCTCAGCGCTGGCTCTGGGGGGGCCTGGCAGGGTGGCAGCGTCCTCGACAGCCAGGGCCGGGCATTCACTGGGGGCTGGGCTCCAACCACCCCCAGGACTTCTCCTACGATGAGCCCAAAGTGGAGTTTGATGTGGATGCGCCCAGCGGTGTGGTGATGGAGGGCTACCTCTTCAAGAGGGCCAGTAATGCCTTCAAGACGTGGAACCGGTGAGGGGGGGCCTGCTCAGGGGTCTGTGGGTCAGACATGGGGTTGGCCCTGCCTGACCCCCTCCTGGCCCGTCCACCCGCCCAGGCGCTGGTTCTCCATCCAGAACAGCCAGCTGGTCTACCAGAAGAAGCTCAAGGTGCGCTTCGGGGCTGCTGGGGCTGGGTCAGTGACAGCCGGGAGCACCACCCCACCCCCCCCGGGCCCTGGGGTGGGCTGGGCAGTGGGGGTCGCACAGGGTTGAGGACACTGAGCCTGAATGGTCAGAGGGCAGAAACCACCTGGATCTCAGATGGTCTGTGTCTCTAAAGTGGAGCAATAAATGGGTAGTCAGTGCAGGGCCAGGGCTGGGTGCTGAGCGCCCGGGCCACGGTGGTGCCGCCCACAGGACGTGCTCACTGTGGTGGTGGATGACCTCCGTCTGTGCTCCGTGAAGCCGTGTGAGGACATCGAAAGGAGGTTCTGTTTTGAGGTCGTGTCACCCACCAAGTGAGGAGGCCCAACCCGGGGCAGGGCGGGGTGGGGGAGGGGGTTCCCTGCCTGCCGGGCCTGACGGTCCCCTCCCCCCAGGAGCTGCATGCTGCAGGCTGACTCAGAGAAGCTGCGGCAGGCCTGGGTTCAGGCTGTGCAGGCCAGCATTGCCTCTGCCTACCGGGAGAGCCCGGACAGCTGCTACAGTGAGGTGCGGCCCCCTCGGGACCGTCCACGTGCGTGCACACGCGCCTGTGTGCTGCGGGGAGACAGCCCCTGCAGGCTGCGTGCAAGCGTGCGTGTACAGTGTGAGCACATGCTGGTGCTCGTGCACGTGTCGGTGTGCGCGGTGTGTGTATGTGCGTGTGAGTATGCACGCGCACGTAGGCACACAGGCTTACGCTTCAGGTGTCCTAGACTGTGTTGGCACCTCTGGGTGGGGAGGGAGAGGGGGCCCACGGGGATGATAGAGGCTGGAGCTCTTGAGGGCTGAGTGGCCCCTCCCTCGCACCATCCCCAGAGGCTGGACCGCACGGCGTCTCCATCCACAAGCAGCATTGACTCTGCTACGGACTCGCGGGAGCGCAGTGTCAAGGGTGAGAGTGTGCTGCAGCGTGTACAGAATGTGGCTGGCAACAGCCAGTGTGGTGACTGTGGCCAGCCAGATCCCCGCTGGGCCAGCATCAACCTGGGGGTGCTGCTCTGCATTGAGTGCTCAGGCATCCACAGGTGCGTCCACTGGGTGGCCTGGGGCTGAGGTGCTGGGGTAGAGCCATGCCCTGACTCACCCCTGCCTCCTCACCGTCCAGGAGCCTGGGTGTCCACTGCTCCAAGGTGCGGTCCCTGACTCTGGACTCCTGGGAGCCAGAGCTGCTGAAGGTGTGTAGGGAGCCGTCTCAGGCCGCTGGCAGGGGGTGGCGGCTGCGGCAGGAGCCAGGTCTGCAGGCTTGTGGGGGGGGGGGGATGAGCTGGGGCTGATGCCTGCATACCCCTTCTTCCACTAGCTGATGTGTGAGCTTGGAAACAGCACCGTGAACCAGATCTATGAGGCTCAGTGTGAGGGGCCAGGTGGCAGGAAGCCCACAGCCAGCAGCCCGAGGTAAGGGGGGGGCAGCCTGGACGGGGCCTTGACAGCCCCCACCCGTGAGGTGCAGCCTCATGCCCGTCTCTGGTGCAGGCAGGACAAGGAGGCCTGGATCAAGGACAAGTATGTGGAAAAGAAGTTCCTGCGGAAGCCGCCGTTGGCACCAGCCCGGGAGGCCCCCCGGCCCTGGCGGGCGCCAAAGTGCCAGCGCCACCACAGCTCTCCCCGGGTCCCTGCTGCCCACCGCAAGGTCCGGCTGGAGCCCATCCTCCCGTCTGTGGCTGCTCTGTCCTCAGGTGCCAGCGGGCTGCTCCCTTAGCTCACGTGCCCATGCAGGGTGGGGACAGGCTCCAGCGGGGGGGGGGGGGGGCAGGGACTCCCAGTATGACTCAGGCACCCTACCTTGCCTTGGGCCTCAGCTCCCCCCTCCCCCCCCCCCACGCAGGTGCTGTGGAGCGCAAGTTCCGGAGGGACTCTCTTTTCTGCCCAGATGAGCTGGACTCCCTCTTCTCCTATTTCGATGCTGGGGCTGCTGCAGCCGGTCCACGGAGTAAGTGCTGGGAGGGCCCTGGCCCCCTGTCGTCGACTCCCCTTGGCTCAGTGAGGCCCACAGAGCAGGGACAGGTGTGCTCGTCTGTGAGGTGGGTGAATGTGGAGCCATAGCCACGTGCTTGGAGACTGGAGGGACAGGCATTTCTTGCAGGAAGGACTGGGCTAGGGCTGGGCAGAATTTGGGGGTCGAGCAAGGATAAGGCTGAGATAGCATCTCAAGGGTCTGGGGTTACTTGGCCACTGACTTGGAGACCAAGGCCCTGATCCTCAAGAGTGATGTGTACGTATGTGTGTGTGGTCTATACACTGGAGTATAAGTGGGTGTGTGGCTGGATGTGCGCACAGGCATATAGGTATGTGTGCGGTGTGTGCTCACGTGTACTGAGGGTCCCGTGTGTGTGTGTACACACTCAGGCTGGGGCCCTTGGCAGCCGTGTGCTGGAGCCAGCCTGTGAGAGACAACGGTGCATCCTTTCCAGCCCCTCTTGGAGTTGGGGGGCCACACGCTACCAGCAGGGTTTCCCACCAGGGGCTTCCTGTTAACGATTTGCCAGCACCCAGTGGTCTGAGGCGCACGTAAAGCCTTTCTGGGCAGTGTAGGCAGAAGGCATGAACCCAGGCCAAGAACAGACAGGGCTGCTGGGGGTGGCAAGGGGGTGCCCTCAGGCAGCAGAGGGCGCTGCCTCACCATTCCTAAGCTGGGGCTGCCCTTGGGGAAGCCAGCTGAGATTTCACTCAGTGTAGCAGGGGGATGGGGGGTGGGGCGGGTGGGGGTGCCCCAGGGCTTGGTGGAGACCCGTTGCTGCCCAGTGACCTCCCAGCATGCAGTCGCCACAGACAGGCTGAGCACCCACTGTGCATGGTCATGCTTTGCCCATCCATCCTGCCAGGGCTGACCTGCGGCGGGGGCGGGGGTGTGTGTGGCTGTGCTCTCTGATGTGTTCCTTTGGCTCCTTTGAGCCGTCCCTTGGTTTTCTCCCCTTTCCCCCATCCTAAGCGGGCTCCCCCCCCCCAACAGTGGGGGCACATCCTGTCCCTGGAGGGTGGGTGGGGGCTCCAGAGCTCTAAGGAGCCCTTCTGTCCCCGGCCCCCACAGGTCTGAGCAGTGACAGTGGCTTAGGGGGCAGCTCTGATGGCAGCTCTGACGTTCTGGCCTTCGGTGCAGGCTCTGTGGTGGACAGCGTCACTGAGGAGGGTGGGTGCCCCTCCCCTCCCCAGCCCTCCCCAACCCCACCCCAGGCCTGGTCTCAGCCCCTGACCACAGCCCCCGTCCCCATAGAGGGTGCAGAGTCTGAAGAGTCCAGCGGTGAGGCTGACGGAGAGGCAGAGGCCTGGGGTGTGGCAGACGTGCGCGAGCTGCACCCTGGTCTGCTGGCCCACCGGGCGGCTCGGGCCCGAGACCTGCGAGCGCTGGCCATGGCGCTGGCGCACGGGGCAGAGGTCAACTGGGCCGACGCAGAGGACGAGGGCAAGACGCCACTGGTGCAGGCTGTGCTGGGGGTGAGCGGGCGCGGGGGCCGGGCGGGGGGTGCATCTTCAGAGCCCGCACAAGGGGTCAGCGAGGGGCCGCGTCCTCAGCTTAACCTGAACTGCACGCCCCAGGGCTCCCTGATTGTCTGTGAATTCCTTCTGCAAAACGGAGCAGACGTGAACCAAAGAGACAGCCGGGGCCGGGCGCCCCTGCACCACGCCACCCTCCTGGGACGCACAGGGTGAGTCTCCACGCCTCCCTGCCTGGCCAGGGTGGGAGGGGGCTGGGGTCGCCTCCTCCTGCCCCTGGCCGGCCCGACTCGAGTCATCCCTCCACCCTTCAGTCAGGTCTGCCTGTTCTTGAAGCGGGGGGCTGACCAGCACGCCTTGGACCACGAGCAGCAGGACCCGCTGAGCATCGCCATCCAAGAGGCAAACGCAGACATCGTCACGCTGTGAGCGCAGGCGGGGGCGGGGCGGGGGCTGGGGGGGAGGGTGGCCGGCGAGGGGCGCTGGGGGGAGGGGCGCGCCTCACACCGTGCCACCCCCAGGCTCCGTCTGGCACGCATGGCCGAGGAGATGCGTGAGGCCGAGGCGCCCCCCGGCCAGCCGGGCCCCCTGGCGGGCAGCAGCCCCACGGAGCTCCAGTACCGCAGGTGCATCCAGGAGTTCATCAGCCTCCACCTGGAGGAGAGCTAGGGCCCCGCCCCGCCTGGGACTCCCCCCACTTCCTGGAGCCCCGGCTGCCTGCTCGGCCTCCTCAGAGCTGCCCCGGCCGCTCCGGGGGCTGAGAGAGGGACCCCAGCACTGAGTCTTATGAAGCCCCACATTTCCCCTTGGGAGGCGCTGCATCATCTGATGCCCCTCGCCACACCTGGGGACGCTATGTCTTCAGGTGACCCCTTCCATGGGAGCCTGGGTTGCTCATGTCACAAACCACTCTCGAGGCTCCATGCCACGTGTGCCCCACAGACGCCCCCCACCTCCGGGGCCGTGTCACCTCGTGCCCCGACCTTTACTGCCGTGGAACACTGACCTGCTAGTTGGGTCCCTCCGACACACCCTCAGAGCCCCTCTGCTGGGCCCTGGAGCTGGTGGCTGGCCGCCAGCACCTTTCAGGGGCAGGAAGGGCAGCCCATCCAGGGAATCAACCCGTGTACCTCACTTAGTGACCGGCATCCAGGCTGGGCTTCTCGGGTGCTGGGGGTGGGCTGTGGCCTGGGGCCTCAGCCCTGGCGGGACGCAGGCATCCCAAGGCCACGCGGCTGGCCACGCAGGCCCCAGTGCTGGGCAGCCCGAGACCCGTCCCTGCCTCTCCAGGTGCACTTGGCCCAGAGTCGGTGCATAAAGGACTTTGGCACTTTCCACTCCTGCATCCGACATTCTTTGTCACAGACTGAGCGGATTTTCTACAACGATCTCTTTCTCACTTTGTCTTGTGTCTTTTCTCTGTGGACTCTTGACGGCCACCTGGACAGGCCCGGCTCTGCCTGCCACTGGGGGGTGGGGCTCCCGCAGCGCTGTTCTGCCCCTCACCTGCCTGGCTCCTCTAGCTGGGCCCTTGATGGGCCCGGGGGTCTCTCGGCTCACTCCCCAGGGCCCACCAAGGCGTTCACTCTGCATTCTCCTTTCCTGGAGCCCTGGGGCAGTGGCTGGGCCTCTCCCCAACTTACATCCTCGGTCAGGCCAAGGCCAGTTGGCTAGTCACTATGCAAAAGCTGTCCAGGGAGGCTCCATGGGTGGCAAGGTGGGTGCTGACTGAGCTCCCCCCTCTGCCTGTTGGCCGTGACCCCTAAAGAGCAGAATTAACTCCCTCCTTTCTCCCTGCTTGAGCTCTGCCCCCCTCCCTCCCTCCCACCCTACTACCTGCATCAGGGCCTCGGGCTGGCAGGACCCGCCCCCTGCTCCAGATCACAGTTAATAAACTGCTGCTTGCACCCCTGCCTGTCATTGGCTCACCTGCCTCACTCCACTCTGTCTCAGCTGGGGAGGGGATGTCTTCGGGTCACCTGCCTTCGCTAAGGGGTGGTCCTGATTGGGGTAGCGCCAGTGTCCCAAGAGGAGACAGTAAGCCAGAACCAGCCTCTGCCTGTTGGGGACCGGCTGGGAGACCCAGGGCTTCTTTGATGGAAATTGACTTCTGAACCCCCCAGCCCCCACTCCCTGGGCCCTCCGCCTTTCTCTGGCCTGGACTGTGGCCACTGGAGGAAGTGGGGATGTATGCTAAGTGGTGGGGGTGATCTGGGTCTGGTCTTGTCTCCTGGCCAAGCCCTGGCCCTGCAAGCTAGCCATGGACACAGTGCCCTCCTGCCCCCCAGCACCCACAGCATGTCTGTGGCTCCCAGGGGCGTGGCGGTGCAGCCTGGGGTGTTCAGCTTACTCAGGAAGGGGAACTGAGGAGGTGCATACACTCTGGCCACCAGCTGGAATCACAAATTTTATTACAAAGCAGCCCAAGGTCACCAAGGTTACCTCGACCTGGCCCTACCCTTCCTTCCACCTGTCCTGAGTTGAGGAAGGTTCTGTCTGGTGTCTGCACGTACCTACACATAGGCACAGACAGATATGATGGCACACTCAGAAGCACACATACGTTTGTTCCCATGACACTGACAGCAAACACAGGCACACTCCCATGTGGAGGTACCCCCACCCCCTTGCACGCACACACTTGCAGGAATGCACAGACTAGACGTGGGAATCCAGGGCGGTGGGGACACTCCCTCCCCCCTGCCCTGGGCCTCCTTGAGTGAGGCCACCCCTGGACAGGGCACTGGGTTGACGAGAGGGCCCAATGGGTTGGGCGCTCTGGTGTGAGCCTGCAAGCTCCGTGTTCTGCTTCCTGGGCCCTGGGTTTGGCTTGGCTGGCTGGAGGTGGCTCCGTGGGGCTGGTCTGGGCCAGCAGGAGAGCCCACTGCTGCCATATCCCTTAGGGTCAGAACAAGGTCAGGCTGGTTCAGGTGTCAGGAGGCTGGGGCTCTCACTTGGCCTGACTCTTCAGCCAGAGCTCCCGGAAGCGTTGTGGGAGATGAGGCCAGCAGGGGCCCCCAGATGATTAATGTCATTCCCACAGTCAGTGGGCAACTGGTTGGCCTCCGGCTTGGCGCTTGGCATGAGACGCCACTGTGGCTGCCCCTGGCTGGCACCCCTGAGTTCTGCGGAGCCGGCGGCAGCCCAGCAGCAGTGTGAGGGCTATGGCATCAAGCAGCAGCTCCAGCAGCTCCAGGACAGAGAGAACAGAGGAGCCGAACCACAGGCTCCAGAGGCTGCCCATGGCTGACAGCAGCTGCGGCACCTGCGGGCGTCAGTGCGCTGTGAGCAGGCGCGCAGGGCCGTGCCGTGGCCGGGCCCCCGGGGTCTGGCCAGCTCTGCTCCTGCCCCCCCCCACGGCTCTTAGTTCCTGGCTGGCTCACCGAGTAAACAGGTGTCTCATCCAGGGTACGGTAGTTGAGCTCCTGGTAGAAGATGTTCACCTTGGCCATGTTGCTCCTGGGGCAAGGCAGAGGTGTGAGGGGCAGGGCTCCTCCTCGGGGCCCAGAAGGGCAAGGTTGGCAGGGGGTGGGGGGCGAGCACGTGACCTCTGGAGGAGGAGGAGTGCACCCACCTGAGGCTCTGGCTTGGGTTCCTGTGGCCCCGCTTGCCCAGCACAGCCAGGATCCAGTCCTGCACACAGAAGCCTCCTTGTGGCCCCCGCTCCTCCCAGCCCTCAGGGTGCTGTGGGGCGGGTGTCAGAGCGGGGGCTGCAGGGGCACAGGCTGGCCCAGGGCGGGCTCTCTGGGACTTGTGAGGCCCGCCAGCTTGTCAGCCCTTCACCCCACCCTCACCCCTGAAGGGGACTCACAGCTGACGTGGAGGAAGGCCACCTCGAGGTCCCGGCAGAGAGCTTGTACGAAGACTCCCTGGAGAGATGGATCCCCATAGCACGCCTGCTATGTGGTGCTATGGCAGCGACCCCCAGCCCCGAGCCTTCACACTTGCCACTCACCTGCAGGGCCTGGGGCAGCGTGAGGCACAGGGAAGCCGGTGGGTCCCCAGGTCCCTGTAGAGGCGGTAGAAGCAGTGGCCTGCAGATGGGGGGGGGCGGGGGGGATCACAGATCAACCCATCAGGATCAACCCCGACCCGCGTGGGGTGGAGGATAGGATACCCCCAGGGGCGGGGCGAGCAGGGTGGTGCGGGGCGGGGCGAAGCGGAGGGGGCGGGGCGAGCAGGGTGGTGCGGCGCGGGGCGGGGCGAAGCGGAGGGGGCGGGGCGAAGCGGAGG